GTAGGTGTAGCAACATCCAAGTACAGTGAGAGTGTGCTGACCTGGCTCATGTTATCTGTGAACACAGATCAGCCAAAATCAAAATCATAAAAGCATTTGAAGCAAAATTCTGTTAATTCCAATTGTGACTGATTTCCGTACCATCGTGAGTCCCTATTAGGTTTGAATATTATAATCTAGATGCCAAAAGGGATTTTACCATACTTTATACAACATATTGAGTACAATTGGGATCCACATGCATTTGTTTAATGATAAGTCATGTACTGTAATATTCTGACAGTAATTTTGTGAGGCATTCAGGGGATAATTTTATTAGAACTTCTTGAGGTTCTACCGCTTTCTTGGCTGTCTTCTATAGCTCTTCATCATTCTGAACACATCTAAAACATCTTTATTTTCATTTATGGCTTTGGTGTGTCGTAAGAATGATTTAAAGTTGTACAGGATTAACATTAGAATCATTTTAGACATTTTTCTGCAATGAAATTGGGTTTAGAGTGTTGAAATCTTTTGAATGGTACACTCTTAAAAAAGATGGTTCTTACAGGTTCTTTAGTAAAGAAAATGGTACCACATAGAACCATGAACACTCAAAAGGAACTCTTTGCATGATTAAAGGGTTCTTTGCACGGTGAAATGGTCCTTCAGATTGATGGAGAATCTTTGGTATATGCTTCTATATAGAACCTTTTTGAAAAGGGTTCTTCTATTGTTATGATGTAAAGCTTATAACAATAGCAGAACCCTTTTGGGTGCTGTATAGAACCCTTCTCAAAGAGGTTCTATATATACATCCATCTAAAGCATATTTTCCTTCAATCTGAAGAATGATTTCACGATGCGAAGAACCCTTGAATAATACAAAGAACACTTGAAGAACCATCTTTTTTAGTGTAGTGCATGTTATTGAATGGAGCGTTCCTCCTTGATTGTTCTACATTACACACTAAATGTTGTAATTCTGAAGAGCAAATAAGCTTAAAGAACTGTTTACATTCAATAAATCATAAACTTTAAGGGGATAATTTAACGCTGCTTGTTCTCGTCTGTCTCTCTTCAGGCTGGTAGATTATTTTAAAATATTGTGAGTTTGATTGAGGGATGATTTTAGAGCTGCAGGTCAGTGATGACCAGAAAGCAAAATGTCCATTCTGCCTAATTTTGCTGTTTGGGTATCATAAAGAGTTGGGAAAGATGGGAGACCACAGAAAAAGAAAAAAAAAACACTTATCAAAAATGAAATAAAACATAATAAATACTTGAGTGATAAATGTTAATAATAAAAGCTTTATTATGTATGTACATAACATATATTCTGTACTCTTAAAAAACGTTCTTCATGGGTTCTTTTGTAAAGAAAAGGGTTGTAGGTAGAACCATGAACACTCAAAGAACCCTTTGCATGATTAAAGATTTCTTTACATCATGGAAGTGTTCTTCAGATTGATAGAGAACGTGCAGTAGATGGTTTTACATAGAACCTTTTTGAAAAGGGTTCTATATAGCACCCAAATAGGTTCTTCTGTTTATACAAGCTTGACATCATAACAATATCAGAATGTTTTTGGTGATTTATATAACCCTTTTTAAAAAAGGTTCTATATGGAACCATCTACAGCACGTTCTCCATCAATCTGAAGAACACTTTGAAGATGCAAAGAACCCTTTAATCATGCAAAGGGTTTGCTGAGTGTTGATGGTTTTACATAGAACCATTTTCTTTACTAAAGAACCCTTGAAGAGCCTTCTTTTTTGATATTCTTATTGATAAATTCAATTTCCAAAAGTATTCGCTTGTCTGCCTTCACACGCATATGGATTTGAGTGACATCCCATTCTTAATCCATAGGGTTTAATATAATGTCGGCCCACCCTTTGCAGCTATAACAGCTTCAACTCTTCTGGGAAGGCTTTCCACAAGGGTTAGGAATGTTTATGAGAATTTTTGACCATTCTTCCAGAAGAGCATTTGTGAGGTCAGACACTGATGTTGGACGAGAAGGCCTGGCTTGCAGTCTCCGCTCTAATTCATCCCAAAGGTTCATCCCCAAACTGTTCCCACAAAGTTGGGAGCATGAAATTGTCCGAAATCTCTTGGTGCTGAAGCATTAAGAGTTCCTTTCACTGGAACTAAGGGGCCGAGCCCACCTCCTGAAAAACAACCCCACACCATGATCCCCCCTCCACCAAACTTTACACTCGGCACAATGCAGTCAGACAAGTACCGTCTCCTGGCAACCGCCAAACCTAGACTCATCCATCGGATTGTCAGACGGAGAAGCGTGATTGGTCACTCCAGAGAACACGTCTCCACTGCTGTAGAGTCCAGTGGCGGCGCTTTACACCACTGCATTCCACGCTTTGCATTGCGCTTGGTGATGTAAGGCTTGGATGCAGCTGCTCGGCCATGGAAACCCATTCCATGAAGCTCTCTACGCTGTTCTTGAGCTGATCTGAAGGCCACATGAAGTTTGGAGGTCTGTAGCGATGGACTCTGCAGAAAGTTGGCGACCTCTGCGCACTATGCGCCTCAGCATCCGCTGACCCCGCTCTGTCATTTTACGTGGCCGACCACTTCGTGGCTGAGTTGCTGTTGTTCGCAATCGCTTCCACTTTGTTATAATCCCACTGACAGTTGACTGTGGAATATTTAGTAGAGAGGAAATTTCACGACTGGACTTGTTCCACAGGTGGCATCCGATCACGGTACCACGCTGGAGTTCACTGAGCTCCTGAGAGTGACCCATTCTTTCACTAATGTCTGTAGAAGCAGTCTGCAGGCCTAGGGGCTCGGTTTATACACCTGTGGCCATGGAGGTGATTGGAACACCTGAATTCATTTTGGGTGAGTGAATACTTTTAGAAATGTGTATATATATATATATATATATATATAAAAAAAAATTCTGAGTAGTGAATTTACATACTAACACAGGTGCTTTGTTGCAGTAACAGCCTCTACTCTTCTAGGAAGGCTTTACACTAGTTGTTGGAACATTGCTGTGAGGATTTGATCTTTAGTGATCATTATGCATTAGTGAGGTCAGGTGCTGATGTTGGATGGTCAGTTCTGTGTAAAAACAGTTCAGTTTTTACACTGTACAAAATGGCTCGTCAGCGCAACTTGAAAAAATTACCTAATGTAATAACAAGTAAATTAACAATTTTTTCAACCTAAATAAATACATTGAATGAATGATTCTTTCCATTAATGTAATTTTTTAAGTTAATTAAATAAAATGAGTTCAATAACCACATCAGTTGCCACATGAGGTAAATGTTTTTAGATTGATCTGATGAGCCATTTTTTACACTTGAACTCCAGTGTAAGTAACAAATTCACAAAATAGAGCTTTTGGACGTATAACATATGTACATGGAAAATAACAGATATGGGCACTTCCCCTCAATTCCCAAGCGTGGTGTAAAGCTCTATCACTGGACTCTGGAGCAGTGGAAACGTGTTCTCTGGAGTGATAAATCAGCTGCACTATCTGTCAGTCTGATGATGAATCTGGGTTTGGTGGAGGTCAGGAGAACGTTACCTACCAGAATGCAGAGCCAACAGTAGAGTTTGGTGGAGGAGGGATGATGGGCTGGGCTGTTTTTCATGGACCACTTAGTCACAGTGAAGGGCGATGTTGATGATACAGGACAAAGACATTTTACACAATTATGAGCTTCCAGCTTTGTGGGAACAGTTTGGGGAAGAGCCTCCTGTTCCAGCATGACTGAGACCCTGTGCACAAAGCAGCTCCATAAAGACAAGTCATGACCTCAACCCTGTTAACCTTGACCTCACTAATGCTCTTGTGGTTGAATGCAATCAAATCCACACAGCAATGTTCTAACATCTAATGTAAAGCCTTCCCAGAAGAGTGGAGGCTGTTACTGCAGCAAAGTGGAGCAGCGTCATTATTAATGCCACTGGTTTTGCAATGATATATTCAACAGGCACATATGGATGTGATACTTCCACTATAAAGCTTTTACAGTAGATTTTAATTTCAGTGCTGCTCTTTTCAGAACGGATTATTTTTGTCCTCTTGGCGAACTTTGTCATATCACCACAATCATGTCAGTCGTGTCAGTCCTGCATAGGCAAAATACACTGAGCTTTAGCTTTTTTATAGCACGCTATTGTCATTTCACCCAGAAAGTGTCATGTTGACACACATAAAGATAAAAAAATATGCTCGTTTGGTTTTGTTTTGTTTTGTTTTTGGACAACAGCAAAATATGTGTTTAGGTTGTGTCAGTTGTGTTGAATGGTTTATGACATGCAGCCCAAAGTGCCACCAAAGATTTTAGAGAAAAATGTAATTGCTTGAAATGTCGTAGATTTGTATCGTCCCTGTTTTCCCAATACGTGGGAAATGGTTAAAAATAAAGAAACAGTGTGTAGATGGCAAACAAAGATGGTTCTTCAAGGGTTGTTTAGTAAAGAAAATGGTTCTATATTGAACCATGAACACTCAAACAAAACCCTTTGCATGCTTAAATGGTTCTTTTGATTTGATGGAGAATGGGTTTAATATGGTTCTATATAGCACCAAAAGGGTTCTGCTGATCTATATAACACTCTTAAAAACAATGTTTCTTCAGTGGTTCTGTAGAAAAGAGAAGGGTTCTAAAAAGAACCATGAACACTCAATTACGGGGTTCTTTATGCACCTTGCTTGTGTACAATTTACCGTGCGACTGTAGCTCAGTGGTCATGTGGTGAGAAACTGACCAATGATGTATGGAGGAGAGGGGCAGATACACTGTAGAGCAACAGACGGACTACAGTCTGTAACTGTGCACCTCCATAGTGGAGCTATAAGGTAGGTGTTTCTAATAAGGTGGCCAGTTAGTGAAAGCACAAGGGAGTGTTTCTAATAAAGTGGCCAGTGAGTGGAAGCACAGGGTGGGTGTTTCTAGTAGCCACATAGTAGAAGTAAAAGGTAGGTTGTTTCTAAATGAAGAAATAGAAAGATGGCCATTAAATGCTCAGATGATTTTTAGATAGTATATGAGACTTTATTACCAGGTTCTGAGAAATACTTTTTAAATCCTGCCATAAGACCCACATGCACAAATTATAATATAATGTAAATGCAGAATCTATGACGTTTCAGAATTTCAGGTTTACATTTAAAGAGAGAAAAGCAAAAATCCACTGAAACTTGTGTAGCCAGCTGGATCATCGAACACCCAGCTGTCCTCCCAGAGCTTGGTGTAGATCTGATCTCCCTTCTCCAGAGTGAGGACAGTCCCGTTGCTGGCGTTGTCGTTGTGCTCATTCTTCTCGGAATACACAGAGCACTGCTTCTGATCGTTTTTGTACAGGCTGACAGCCATTTTCCTGCCACCCTGACAGTGAGCGTAAAACCTGAAAAAGTAAACTCCTTTAATCGGAGCAGTGAAAATCCCTGAAAAAGACAGAGAGACAACAGTGATTCTACAAGGAAGGGTTAAAGGGAAGCTCAATTAATCTGTCAAGTTTCTGCATAATTAAGTGGTTAAGATGTAAACAGAGCAGAGGTGGCACCTCACCTCCAAAAGTGGTGGGGCAAAACAAATTCTTGCCCCAGCTGGCTGAGTGACACAATGCAATTAGGCCACTGACTAAAACTGCCATTCATATCAAGCTAAGAACATGTCTTTATAAACCTACTCAGAAGTGGGTAGTGACTAGTTACATTTACTCAAATACATGTACTTCAGTAAATTACTGATGGACTTTTACTCTCCTGAGTATTTTTCAAATCATATTACTTTTACATCAACTAAGGTGAGTAAAGGAATCTTATTTTAATCTTTCATATTTAGATACTAATTCTATTTTTGTGATTAATTTCAGTTTGTCTTGATTGTGGCAATATTTGTACTCCTTTGTGATTGGTTACATCTCTGACTTTGGAGCTTCTGTAAGTTAAATTAAAAAAAATCCGAAAAAGAAAAGAACAGAGCTGCACAGTCTTTATTTCCTATGCTGATAAATGCTGGATTTACTAAGTAGGTTCACTGCAGGACTCATTTGTATTTCTACTCAAGTTGTTGTGGGGAAGGCACTTTTACTTAATTATTTTATGCAAGTATCAATATTTTCACTTGAGTATTAATTTAGACTAATCTACCCACCTCTGACCCTGATCATGAACAGTGTCTGTGTTAGTTTTGATGCTGCTTCAGTAGCTGCAGCCTCAGACAGTAGTATTTGTTAGCTAGTATCTATAAGGAACATCTGGACGTTTTCACACCCAGTTCATTTTCTAAAGAGCCACCACATTTTGATTTTGTGATGTTTTATCTTTTTTCTTTGGTTCAGATGGTGGACTGTAAGGGCTAAAGTGGATTAAATTACACACGTGGGTGTTTATTTATTGATCAGAAGTTTTGCAGGGATGCAGGCGCTCTGCTACTCTCACATTCACTAGCATGAAAACAGAAAAACAGAAAATAAAGACGCTTATCATCTTTGTGAATACCAATTTAAGCTTAATCGATGAGGTCACTGATGCTTTGCCAAAAATATGCTTTACAGTCCATAAATAAACAGATTTTATTATTGTATTGCTTGTCTTTCATTATTTACAGCAGGATGAAGTGCTTCCATCCTTACACAACCTCAGATCAATAAACAAACACTCGTGTGTGAGCGTTCATAAAGAGCGCAGTGTTAAAGCAGCAGGTTGTGCAGACAGTACAGAGAAAGTGTTCTGGTGCTCTGGTGATGAATTCCGTCGTGAATTAGCGCAGTTCAGTTGTTTGGTGCTGCCTGAACGTGGGCTGAGTTTCGCACGTCAAAACTAAAGATAAAGTTCGGCAGGTCCACATCATTCAAGGCAGGTCTGAAAGCACCTCCCAGCTGAAATGGAGATTCTGAGTTTTACTCTGCCTGATCAGCGCTTTATGCAGTTTAAGGAAAGTGGAGGTTTTTATGTCGCACCCTCAACTCAAAAAGTAGTGGGGTGTGGCCACTGTACTTGGTGGGAAGTAAGTAACTGTAAGTGGGTGGGAAAATGCCTGCTCACCACCGTGGTTCTGGCGGCCCTGAAACAGAGTCATTCAGAGTGGTTTGGTGTGAAACGTTCTGTTCTAGATAAACTTACAGAGTCAGAACTGTTCACAGTGGTGGTGATAGGAACCAGACGTCCACCTCTAAAAGCTCCCTCACAGAAAGTTCCTACATGAAATGGTTATGAATTCACTGCCTGATGACTGAGACACTGTTTTATGGAGGGATACATGCAGGGCGCTGTGAGGCAAAATAGTCCCCAAAGAGAACTTATTATTTCAGATTTTCCACTATTTTTTTGAAGACTCATGTAGGTTCACTGGTGGTTCTGGATAGTACCATCCTAGCACCATCACTGTAATGACATCTGAACCATTTCACACCAAACCACCCTGAGTCTCTCTGATTACACCTCACACTCAATTATGCAGAAGCCATAAAAAATGGTGAAATCCCCTTTTAAGGGTGAACACAAGCCAAAATACTGGTAAAGCTGACACACCAATCAAACAGTGATTAATGCGAAATGATCAGGAGGCTGATTTGTGACAGAAGTCAAAATATAAGTGAGAAAGACAACAACATATAGTTTTCTTGTTCAGTTTAGTCTCATGAGTAGTAATGCCACAAGATCAGGGGAATTTCCTCTTTCAGGTGCACTAGGTCAGGGGTTCTCAACCTTTTGTACCCCAAGGCCCACCTGTTTATAAATACAAAGAATAGCAGCCCACAGGAAACTAAAATAAACTTTTTAAATATGTTTTTAAATAAGATTTTCTTTTTCTCTTCTTAAGTGCTGAAACTGAAAACCTGAGAATCAGACCAGATTGTCCATTTTGGCTCCTTCACACGTCCCAAAATTTGCAGTTATGCTAAAAAAATATTTCCAGAGATTATAAAAAAATCAAAAAGAATAGAAATGAAGGAGGGGGAGTGGACTGTGATTTGGAGCTGCAGTACATCGCGTTTTCACTGAAAATATGCCGCTGCCTTTGTCTCGAGATTCCTTTTTAGTTTTGAGGGTATTTGAGATTACTTTGAAATAGCCAAACCACAGTCCACTCACCAGGCTTCTGGATCAGCGCCGTCACAATCAACAACCAACTGTATTTTATATCTGCTTCTTTGTCATTGGTTTATCAGTTTGAGTCTAACCACTCATGTCGCTGATGTTCGGCCAAAAATACATTCCGATCCATGAGCCAAAATCAAACACACATCTTCACTATTATTGTATTTTACAGCAGCTCGTGGTGCAGAAACACGAGCCAATGAGGGTTTATAAAGAGTGAGACGTTAAAACAGGCAGATCTGCTGACGGTACAGCGCCGATGTGCTGCTAGAAAAGGAGCTCTGCTGATGAAGCCCCTCGTACTGCCACTTAGTGCTGATTGGATAGCATTATTGATTCTGAGTGCTGATTGGTTGGTGAACTGATCAGCTCATTGGTTGACTGATTGGCCTTGATGATACTAATTCCCATTTACTGTACCTGTATTTGAGTCGTAGCCGTTTCCATAGTTGCTGGAGACTTTTTTGTAGATCAGTGGTGACGGCACAGGGTTCATGGGTCCAGTGTGTCCCTCTCCAGAGGCCAACAGTGATGCAGAAAAGGCAACCTTTTCCTCTGGGAATATATACATATATATAGATATAAATATATGATGTAGAGAGCCTTTTTGCTTTGAGGAGGAAATCAGCAGGATTATGAGGTTCCAGTCAGAACATTGATATTCAGCTTCATGTGATGTCATCTGCTGGAATAGTCATTTGGTTGAAAATATCTGTAGCAGTCCCCTGCACTGCCCCTCAAATACTTTATATTTGAATGTTATTTCCAAATATGACCAATCAGGTTGAATTTTAAATAATATTTAAACTGCACAATATACAGTTAAATGTTACTCCACTCGGGGTGTTTTTTCTTTTTTGCTGGAGTTAGAAATGGTCAAAAAGTGGGGTGTTCAAAGTTACAACTGTATAAAACACAGAAATGGGGGGCATTAAAAATTTGGACACAGTGCACATTTGGTTTTGCAGTGACGGGATGTTCTTGAACACATACAGCTGCAAAAACTGTAGCTGTAGATGTTTTAATAGATCATTTTAACCATGTACACAAACATATAATGAACACTCTGTATATTAACCTAATATGCAAAACACTGTGATCTGGGTTTTTAAATAGAAACTAGGCTGAGTTTAATAATCCATAATTATAAAATCTTCCCTCAGTGTGAGCTCAGACAGGCTAAGAGAGAGTCTGATTACCTCTGATTTCACTCCTGAGCTCCTTCATCGCATCTGTGAACAGAGTCACGATGCGGTCCAGCTTTTGCTCCATGCTGCGTTCGTCCTGCTGCTTTCTGCTTCTTTCTTTCTGCTGCTTTCTTTCTATGACTGAGCAGCTTTATAAGAGGAATCAGAATCAGGAAGGAGCTCATGCTTAGTTCTGATTGGAGAAGAGAAATATTGAATTATTCATTTATTTTACGTCAGTAGATCAGAAGCGAAGTGAGAGATACGCAGCACTTTTTAGGACTACATGCAACGTCTGCAGTGTGTGTGCACATTTAAAACCACACTCAAAACTGTTCTGTTTGCACAAGCATTTTACTAATGTCAGTTTTTTGCACTATTACTCTCTAACATCTCTCCATAAACAGACTTAACTTACAAACTGTTTGCCTCCGTCTCTCAATTCTATTAAATTCAATTCAAATAACTTTATTGGCATGAACTGTAAAGAACAACTGTTGCCAAAGCAATTAAAATATCCTAGTAGAATATGAAGATCATGGTGAAGAAGGAAATAATGTATAAAAGAAAGAGTAAAATAATATTCATATATATATATATACACATACACATATACATACATAGACATACGCATTGTAAATTACAATACACACACAACATCAAATAAATGATACATTCACAGGGGATCAGTTTAAGGCGCTGTGTCACTCCGTTCTCTGCGTTTGTGGCAGCTGTGAACATATTTAGCTGATAGTTTAACACAGTCTGGAGTCTCTCCTAAACACACCCCTAACAGATCTTCAGTTTGAATCATTTTCTCCTTAAATGATGGGATATAAGTTTTAACTGAGCTGATATAATCTTCTCTGAGGTCTTTATATCTGTTACAGGAGGAGAGAAAGTGCTGCTCTGTTTCTGTTTGTCCTGAACTGATTACATACTCGTTCTTCTCTGGGCCTCCAGTGTGTTATGGCCTTTTTCTATTTCTAAACTGTGGTCACTCAGTCTGAACACTGTTAAGATATTTCTTTCTTTAGGGTTTTTTATTTTGATCAGATAATCTGCTAGTCTGTATTCTCTCTTCAGTAATTTGTAGCATTCTAACATAAGATGAAACTGTAGCAAGCAAACAAATGTTCCCTGGACCCTGTATTCCCAGAACCTTCTGCTTCCAGGGCCCTATGCTTTTAGGGCTATGGGCTCCCTGGACCATTTTGCTGTTGTCAGAAGAAAACCTCATATCTCCAGAATGACAACTTCACAGTAGAAGGAAAAAACTTACTTTACTTTCAATGTAAGTCAATGGAACCAGAATTCTTTCCAAGTCATTCTGGGCCGTTTCTTTTGGTCCATTCATTATGAATTTTACACACAATGTAAAGGGAAACAGGCATTTTCACATTATGTCAAAAACTGGAGATACGAGGTTTTCTCCCGACAGCACCAAACGCTTCTAGGCCCACATTTTCCCAGGGCTTTATGTTTAGGACTCTATGTTTTCAGGGTCCTGTGTTCCCTGGGGGAACTGAATGGGGCTGAATTTTATTTCAATTAAGATTTTGGCTTCAGCAAATTTTTTTTTATTTATTATTTTTATATGTGTTCAGTCTTTTTCAGTAAGCTGTGGAGGAACACTACAACATAGTTGATCTTATTTATTTTTAGTTATTCGTTATTTTTATACTGTTTATTTAAATGTATTTAGTCAGTGAGTAATCGTGTTAAATAATCATGATCTCAGTATTCTATTATTTCTCAGTATTTCTGCCGTAATCGAGCAGCCCTGCCTGAAATAACACAGAATTGCAAAGTAAAGAAAGTCATCAGTGACCACATGATGACAACTGACGAGATCCACGATACGCTCAGAAAAGCATGCTGTGTCATATTGTGATATAGTTTATCACGCTGATGATGATTAATATCGTCATATCGCCCAGCTCCCTCATCCGTTCTTTCAGGCTGGAGTGTAAAACCTTAGGGTGGGATTTGGGGGGCTGAGAAAGTTGTTTAGAAAATCAGCATTCGATGCCTGTGTTGATGTGGGGGTCTGGCCTTAATATGGGGGTCTGGGCTTAATGCGGTGGTGTGGGCTTAATGTGGAGGGTCTGGTCTTAATGTGAGGGTCTGGGCTCAATATGGGGGTCTGGGCTTAATGCGGTGGTCTGGGCTTAATGTGGAGGGTCTGGGCTTAATGCAGAGGATCTGGGCTTAATTTGGTGGATCTGGGCTTAATTCGGTGCTCTAGGCTTAATGTGGTGGTCTGTGCTTAATTCGGTGGTCTGGGCTTAATGTGGTGGTCGGGGCTTAATGTGGAGGGTCTGGGCTTAATGTGGAGGGTTTGCTTTGTTTTCAGCGTGCGCAGCAGGTAAACAGCAGGTAAAGGGTTAACAGACTGGCTCAGCAGGTAAAGGGTTAACAGACTAGCCCAGCAAGTAAAGGGTTAACAGACTGACTCAGCAGGTAAAGGGTTAACAGGCTGGCCCAGCAGGTAAAGGGTTAACAGACTGGCTCAGCAGGTAAAGGGTTAACAGGCTGGCTCAGCAGGTAAAGGGTTAACAGACTGACTCAGCAGGTAAAGGGTTAACAGGCTGGCTCAGCAGGTAAAGGGTTAACAGGCTGGCCCAGCAGGTAAAGGGTTAACAGGCTGGCTCAGCAGGTAAAGGGTTAACAGACTGGCCCAGCAGGTAAAGGGTTAACAGACTGGCCCAGCAGGTAAAGGGTTAACAGGCTGGCTCAGCAGGTAAAGGGTTAACAGACTGACTCAGCAGGTAAAGGGTTAACAGGCTGGCCCAGCAGGTAAAGGGTTAACAGGCTGGCCCAGCAGGTAAAGGGTTAACAGGCTGACTCAGCAGGTAAAGGGTTAACAGGCTGGCTCAGCAGGTAAAGGGTTAACAGGCTGGCTCAGCAGGTAAAGGGTTAACAGGCTGGCCCAGCAGGTAAAGGGTTAACAGGCTGGCTCAGCAGGTAAAGGGTTAACAGGCTGGCCCAGCAGGTAAAGGGTTAACAGGCTGGCTCAGCAGGTAAAGGGTTAACAGGCTGGCCCAGCAGGTAAAGGGTTAACAGGCTGGCTCAGCAGGTAAAGGGTTAACAGGCTGGCCCAGCAGGTAAAGGGTTAACAGGCTGGCCCAGCAGGTAAAGGGTTAACAGGCTGACTCAGCAGGTAAAGGGTTAACAGGCTGGCTCAGCAGGTGCGAGCGCGTTGCGATGTGAGAGCGAGGAGCTCCGTTTTCTGCTGCCTGCTTTTACAAGTGGGCCAGAAACACCGTCTGCTGTCTCGTCTCGCGCCCCAACCACACACACACACACACACACACACACACACACGCGCGCGCACACACACACACACACACACACACACACACACACACACACACTCGGCGAGTGTCTGAGACAGACACACTCTCACTCACACTAACACTCCCCTCAGGGTTGGTCTCAGTTCCACTGGGCTAAAGGTGAAAAGCAGAGTCAGTAACAACCACTGTCGGACTGTGGTCAAACGAACGTTCTTGCAAAGATTGGTTTTCACAGGGACTCATGCTCACTCAGCACTAACCATTAAGGCTCTCTAGAAACAGGTGTGTGTGTGTGTGTGTGTGTGTGTGTGTGTGTGTGCGTGTGTGTTGCACATTGCCTGGTGCCCTTGGCTTTGTAAAATTACTGCAAACCTGTAAAGTCCTGCACCAAAAGCACCAGAGGAAAATAAAATTAAAAAGCTGCTTATCTGGGCTGTGGATTTGCTGAGAAAAACACTAATGTTAAAAATAAATACATATAATATTGATACAAGTAGTGACTTTATGGATGCCAGTGTGTTCACTTAACCATTTTGATTAATCAGTACTTCTTTATGCTAAATAAAGTCGTAATGATTGAATTTATTAATGACTGACTTAATGCAGTAGCTGGGGGTGTCCAGGAGGTGCCTGGAGCCAGACCGAGCTCATGAGATACCAACTACATCTCTGAAAATTAGAACAGAGAACGTTTACTCTAATGTCATGAAATGTTCTTCCAAGCAATAACACACTCAACGCTGAGATAAATGGTTGTAAACATGCCTAAGATTCAAGCCTACAGTTTGTTTGTGCTCCTGCTGGTGTGTGTTCTTGCTGTTTATTCTCTTTAAATAATGCACATAAGCTGTGCTAATAGGCCCCCTTCAGGTTGTGGGTGAGTGTGTATGTTCTTATAAATAAAAAGTCTGTAGTAAATGTTTCCTTTCCACACATAAAACCTCTAGGCAGGATAATTTGATATGTTAAATCACATCATCAAAAATACTACTAGCATTATAAATTAGCTTATCAGGGGGTGGGTAGACATATTAAGAGTCTGTACTGAATTAAACATACATACGAAACAAACGAGTTTCAGGTGTAAAACATTCAGCAGCATTTAGAGAAGCTGCTGTGGGCTTTACACACACCTCACCTTCATCTCATTAAGGTTAGAAAGACATACAGACATCTGACTGTATATTATATGTTTTTCATTTCTGTTTTCAATATTTTGCTTAATAAAAATGTTTGAGATTTACTATGGTTGTTACATGCAGTGGTCTGAGTGGAGTTTGGCAGAATGACCGCGAGGCGGTCAGAGAATGAAACTCAAACAGCCGGACACGTGGCAGACCACACTGAGCCGAGAGGGAAACAAGGCTGCTACCTGGGAAAAGATGATCGGTCTGAGCACAAACTCACACAGCAATCAGCTCAACACGACACAACACACACAATTAGATAATAAACAGCTTATTAATTACCAGGAGGTACCAGAGACTCTGAGCAGGACGGTCAGGTTCTTCCACATTATACTCATTATAGAGCAGCTCTAGCAGGGCATGGTTAACAGCCTGACTTGTTGTAAAGGTGGAATGCTATTATAATGTCTACTGTATACCTGTTCTACTGTCAGTGTTGGTCTAAGATGACTGTATGCTTGATTTCATACACACGTTAGCAGTAGAAGTGGCTAAATGTTTATATATTATTTTATGTATTGCATATTAGCTTCATACATGAACTCAGATAAAGTATGTTAAAAAGCACAAACCAGGCAAACAGTTAGCAGAGTTAGCTGGTATTGGCTATTTTCAGTGTTGACTATTTTCAA